CCGGGTTAAGGGAGATTTGACACGGGCCCATCCCAATTTGGGTTGGAAAACCCTGATTCCAGTGTGAATGATCCTCATTTAAACTGGTTTGCAAACTGATTTAAGTGTGAACTACCCCCTTTTAAACCAGTTTGCAACCTGGGTTAAAATGTAGTGTAAATGACCCCCTGGTCCACCATTTGAAAAGTAGTGCCATGCTGGCTTTCAGGTGGGATTTACTAACTTATCATTTAGCAATTAATTCAGTGGATCAACTCCAGTAAGACTAGCAATTGCCTTTAGACTCAGCTTCACATCCTTGGCAACAGGTATATAAGAAAAGTGGTAGTAAAGTTCTTGTCTCGCTTCCAGGCCAGTATAACATCTTAGTCATTCCTGGCAGCCAATTTTACTGAGCTAGTGCTTTCAGAATGCAGGCTATGGATTTAGCAGCAAAATAGATGTAGCTCTATTTTGGCTCAGCTTCAACTAAGCAAACATTATAATGGGCAGAAATGTCTGCTTTTAGAAATTAAATGGAATACTGTGATCGGTTTCTCATACTTGCTGTAGATAGAAGAACATATTACTGTACATATAACCAACAATTATTGCTGAACTTTCCTGAAATCAAAGTTATTTTACCTATTTTGGATATAGATTGCTCAGTTATTTCATTCATTCAGACATCTACTGCATCACTTTATATGCATTAAAGCAGAAGCCTTGGGAAACATTAGAAGCTAGTGCTGGCTACAAATCACATATATTATAATACTTCTAATGCCTTCAAAATATTGGTATGTGAATAGTCTTATTAATGGTAACATACATATCATCAGTTCTATTTTTACAATAATGTTTATCTCCTTCTCTTTCTCCCTTCCCTTTAATTTTTTGTGTGTTTATCTAATTTTAGCTAATATTTGAAGTTACAGTTGGACAAGCATAATTTTTTTACAGTGCATCAATTAAAATTATGTGAAGTTTCATTGATTTCACTGAGAATGTAAAACAGTGGTCTAAAACACACTGCAGAAATAATCCAGTTTGAAGCTGATTTAACTGCCCTGCTTCAG